CTGGAGCCAACTGAGCTGCACACACACTGCCCTGGAGGAAGAGCTCAGGATCTGTTTCTCACAGTTGCAGGTTTTCTGAGCAGACCTGGAGTGGACCTGTAGTGTCCCCAGTTGCTGGGACACTCCAACTCCAGGTCCACTCACAGAAAACCTGAGCTTCTCCATGGTGATGTGTGTGCAGCTCAGTTGGCTCCAGTGGAACAGCTGCCTGAGCTTGGTCTCCAGGGTAGGAGAGTCCAGAGGGGGGCTTTGGGAAGTGATTGGTCCTTAGGCTCCAACCTCACCAGTGGACTGACCCATTGATGGCTGTGGGCACCCCAGAGCTGTGGAGACTGTGGGACGTAGCTGTCCAAAGGAGTGGAAACCAGGGTTCACCTTGTCCCGGCCCCTCCCTCCCTCCTCCTCTCTCCCTTGCTCCCTGCTTCCCCACCACCATGTGCCCAGCAGCCTCCTCTGCCCCACCCATCCCCCAAGTCTGCCTTCCCTCAGGCCCAGAGCAAAGAGTAGATGGCCAGGGACAGCATCCCTTCAAACCATGAACCCAAACTTTTCCTCCTCTAGGTGATTTGCCAGGTATTTTGGTCACAGCAATGAAGCTGATTGACATATAGGGTGCGGCCACTGAGCCCGAGACATCCAGCAGGAAGGAGCCATGGCCACTTCATCCTTCCKCCACCCCCACTCAGAAATACAGGGAGCAGCTGTGCCCCTTCTTGGCTCCTCTCAGACCTTCCTCTGCACAAACCCATCTCCCCTCCCCCATCTGAACAGGGGATTCAAATGTTTTGGCTTTCATGAAACAAACCTCAGGAAAACTGGTCTGCTGGCTCTGTCCCCTGGCCACCCAGGACCAACCCGAGACCTGAGGCCCAAGTCTACAGCCTCAGCTCCACGTCACCCAGTCCCTGTCCAGAGCAGGCCACAGCCGGCCACCCCAGAGGTGCGAGCAGGAGAAGGCTGCGGAAGTTCTCTCCATTCCCGCCAGCACCCAGCCTCTTGGGCACCACTGACTGGGAACACCTGAGTCTGCCGCGTGCCCGAGCTGCACCGCCTAACGGGGCTCCTCTTTGAAAGCCTTTACTCTGAAACCCTGATGCTCCACTATTGGTGACTGCTCCCTTGGACAGCAAAGCCCATCTCCMCTTCTCTCCTGCAGACCCCAGATGCTGCCCCTGACCCCGTTCCCCGTCTTTCTCCAGGTCACTCACAGGAAACACTCAGTTCACTACACAGGATCCCAGTCCCCAGGTCTCCGGAGCCACCCCTGCTCCAGGACACAGGGTGGTCACTCTGGAGACTCTGCCCTCCCTAGGTCTTAGTGCAGGCCTCCCGGTCCACCCTCTCCCTAAACAGCTGTCCTGTCCTGGGCTCCCTCAGTGTGGACACCCAAGATGGGTGGAAGGGCCAACACTCTCAGCAGGACGCTAGACACTGGGGGGGGGGAGCCAGCAGGGTGGCATCAGGCAGCAGCGAGGGAGACCAGAGCCGTTTTCCAGACACCTCTCTATCAGCTTTCCATTGATGGCTTCAGACCAGACATGTCCTGCTTCAGCTGACTTCCCCACGGTTTGACGGACATCCTCAACACAGCACCTGGGGCCACCGTCTCCTTCAAGGCCGGTCCCAGRGCCAATGTGCAGAGGAAAACTGCTTCCACAATAGCTCTCCTCGTGAGGGCACACAGGATCCATCTTTCTACCAAATACCTGTGCGGCCGAAAGGAGGGAGAACCTGCTCAGATGTAGAGGTGTGTCCCGCCCCCGCAGGGGACTGTGGTACAGGAAGGGCTCATGGGAGCGGATCTCCCRGCTGCTCCCCCAGGACACAGCCTTCAGGCACCGTCCTGGGAGTGCAGAGACAGTATCCCCCGGGACCTGGACCTCCCAGCTGCACACACAGAAATGAACTCCCGCACCCAGCCTTAGGAAGGTCTTGTTATGCACCTTGAAACGGACTAAAACAGGGCCCTGTGGGGTCCCTGTGTCAGACCTCCATCAGTGGGCACCTGACAACATACCAGAAGTCAGAATCTCAGCTTTTCAAACAGTACTGCACTCGATCCATCCTCAGAGAACAGCAAGGCAATGTACAAACCATTTTAGAAATTAGCTGAGGTTTTATGCAAAGATTAGCTCAATACAAAAATCAAAACAGATTCTCAATAAATTTCAACTAATTATACCCTGATCATAACTGACCTTTATTGAAGAATGAACATTCTTATGATTCAAAATCAAGTATTTTAGGAGTGATATACCTAATAGTGATTGACATGGAAGTGTTTTCATTTAACATAGCTAAAAGGGCAGCCGTGGTGGTACATACCTGTAATCCCAGAGACTTGGGAAACTGAGGCAAGAGAATTACAAGTTCAAAGCCAGCCTCAGCAACTTAGCTAGACCCTAAGCAACTTAGCAAGACCCTGCCTCAAAATAAAAAACAAAAAAATAAAAAGTGTTGGAGATATGGCTCAGTGGTTAAGTGCCCCTGAGTTCAACAAATTGGTACCCTCACCCCCCAAATATTTTTATTTATAAAATAAAACAGCAGGGTTGGGGGATATAGCTCAGTTGGTAGAGTGCTTGCCTTGCATGCACAAGGCCCTGGGTTCAATCCCCAGCACTATAAATAAATAAACAAACAAACAAACAAATAAATAGCTAAGAGGCATACAGACATCTATAAAATATTTATCTCACCTAGGAAACAAAAAGGGTAAAAGTAAGCTTCCAGACTCACTGCCAGAATTAAGATTTCAGCACAGACAGGTTTAATAACAAGTAGTTGACTAACAGATTATAATTCTAAAGTTGCACAATAAAAATTTTCCTAATTTTTTTCTTTACAAAAAATAATTAACTGATGAATTAACAATAGAAATTAATAATAACTTCAGAAAAAAAGGCACATCGAGGCAAAACAGTGGAAGCACCCGTGAGCCAGTGCCTCAGTCCTACTGTGCACAAGTGCAAGACAGTCATGCCAGGAACTTCCGCAACAGCAGAGCCTGTGCCAACAGGCAGAGAGGAGGACACTGCTCCTTGCTGACGGCACTCGGGCTGACACCAGCGCACACCYCCTCCAAGGTCGTCCCAGAGTTGCTCAAAGCCCAGCGTGGTCAGAGACTGGACCGCCTCTCCGATCTGGGCACACATTTTGTAATGGCAGCTCTCCACAGCACAGGGGCCAGCAGAAGGCTGAGTGTGGTCACACTTAGTATAAGGAGGTACACCTGCAACACAGGTGAGCACAGCACATGTCACAGTGAGCTTTAGGGGGATCCCCACATGGGTGCAAGGCTAGGCAGAGTCACACCCAGCACGACAGGGACCTTACAAACCAAGCGCTCTCTCCCTTTTCAGGGCACCTCAAGTAGAGCCACAGGTGAGGACATGGGACATGGGAAGAAAAACTCAAGGCATTGAGCCTCTGCTAACGTGAGGGTGAGCCCCACGGGCCACCTGAGTCACACCAACTTGCCCAATGTCCCTGGGGCAGTTCCGTTTTTCTAGTACACTCTGAAGGAAGACTCCTGTGCTCCTCACACTCAGGGGACATCAGACCCCTGATTCTGACCTCACGGCAGCCCTCAGTGGGTCGAGTACAAGGCTTAGGCCTCTTGTGTGCTACTCCTGCGCATCCAGCAGCTCAGCCTCAAGGGCAGGATCCTGCTGCCCATTCCCAGACAGATCAGCAACGGTCAGAGGCAGCAGTTCAGGAAGTGCGACCTGGCGATTCACCCGAGACGCCACACGGGCTGGGGAGGAGTGACCCCGGAGATCCCCAGCACAGACGGGAGCGTCTGAAAGAGCTGCTGCGCCCCCCCCCCGGCCCCCGCACCAGGGACTTGTGGGCTGAAGCCTGAGGGACAGTAACCACTCACCTCCCGGGAGATGATGCCTGCTCTCCGCGCCCGGCTCCCCAGGACAAAGGAGAACTCGCTGACCTGGGCCAGGCCTGCAGAGATGATCCACTTCATGTACTGGCTGCTCTTCGGCAGGATGAGAGACAAGACCAGTGCTGCCAACACAAACTGCAGGAGCACAGCTCGTGTTACTAAGTCCAGTGAGATCTCAAGCTCAGCTGGCATGGTGGCATGTCTATGACCCCAGAGATTGGGGAGGCTAAGGCAGGAGGACTGCAGTCTCAAAGCCAGCCTCAGCAATGGTGAGGCCCTGAGCAACYTAGTGAGGCCCTCTCTCTAAAAACCAAAAAGGGCTGGGGATGGGGTTCAGTGGGTAAGAGCCTCTGGGTACCATCCCCAGTAACAAAAAATAAAAAATTAAAACACAGAACCTAGATGGGAAGCATCAAAGGCTGCCACAGCCTCGAGTGGCCAAGCAGGGTGTACCAGAGGCTCTGTGGTCCCCAGACACAGCAACTACACAAACTGCCGCAAGGCTAGGCAGCCCATGAAGGTGAAAGAGGAGGCTCAGGTTTACTAGCAGAAAATACACCTTTCCCCAAACCACATCAACGGCATTTAAGGTTGAGTAGCGTCCACGATGGGGATGCTTTGATGAAGAGAGGGCACCTCTCTCAGTGAGCAGCCCAGCAGCCCAGTGAGGCTGCTCTGCCACCATCTGATTCTGCACCCAACTTTCACAGGATGTTATGAAATATTAACAAGTGCGGGAAGCCTGGTCAACTCCTGGCATTCACTTCTGAGTGCGTCTGCCTCTGTCAGAAGGGGCCTGGGGTCCTGCAGACCCATCCCCAGCAAGACCACGTCAGCAGAGCCTCACAGGTACTCGTATGGGTGCTCCCCGTCTCACCCTCCAGCAACTCCCCCGTGTGAACCCCTCCATTTGGAGGCAGGCTACAGGTCACCCTGGGCCTGTCCCAGCTGGCCTCCCAGGGAGTGAAGTACACAGGCGTGGACTCCCACAGGCGTGGACTCCCACAGGCGTGGACTCCCACAGGCGTGAAGTGTAGCAAGAAGTGTCAGTACCTTCATGACCACCACCGACAGGGTGAGGAACACCAGCACCGTGAGCTCGTACACTACGAAGGTGGGGAACACATGCAGCCCTGCGGGAGACAGCACAGGTGAGCACAGGTGAGCCCAGAGATGCCTGGGCCCAGCCAGCCCTGGACCCTCCCCTTGCTCCAGCAGGAGAGAGCTGCAACCTGAGAACCCTAACCACACTGGACCGAGCCCTCTCCCTCTCCCAGAGAGAGGGAATAGGGTGACCACTGCCACTTCCTGCCACACGGAGGGTGGGGTGCCTGCACGGGCCTTCCCAGACCTGGGTGTGTGGCCCTGCCTCTGCAAGTGGGCAGCCGGACCCAGGCGGGCCAGTCCTGTGTCTAYGGCCAGCCCAAGTCGGGCTGCTCCTGCTCATCCCGAGGCCACAGGGAAGTCTTCCTGACACCTCCTTGCTCCCACTCCTGCAGAGGCTGCTGCTGTGCACTCCTGGGGACGGCCAGAGGACAGGCAGCTGCAGGGAGTGAACTCCAGCTCCACCTGCGGGCAGCCCCACCATCCCCCAAGGGGAGCACTGTACCCAAGACCTCGGGAGGCAAGACCCACAACCCATCGGTGTCTCCTTGGAAGTGCATCGTGAAGGTCTCCTCCCTCCTGAAACCCAGAGATGCCTCCCCCACCACTGGGCTGCACTCTGCTGACTGCACACCCAGGCCCTTCTCGAGGGTGCCCTTCCCAGGGCCTGTCCTCAGCCTGTCCCCAGGGCCTGTGTGCACCGGCTGCTCCCGCTCTGTCGGACCGGGATGGGCGCTGTGCTCTGCTTCCCSCGGTGCCCCAGCTCTTCCCAGAGCCTCTCCACCCCCAGGATGCCTGGGCTCCTGCCTCTGGCTTGGTGAACAACCTGGCTCCTGCCTGGCTGCCGCAGGCTTCCCTGCAAGCCCCTGTCCCGTGCAGGCCCAGCTGTTGYGGACGCTGTCCAGGAGGCAACACCTGCTGGTTGGCACCCTGCCCTGCCTTCGGCTCACGACATCAGCATGGCAGCACTGGGGATCGTGAGAAACTGGGACCCTGCCACTGGGTGTCACATCACTCTCGACTGGCAGGAGGGCAAGCCAGCCAGGCCACAACTTCCCATCCGGTGTCACCGACTCTCATGACAAACACCAAACCCATGTGTGCCACAGGGGACCCGTGACTCCGCCCAGCCCTGGCCCTCCACTTCCTAACGACACCGCTCAGCCTCTCAGGTCCGGCGTCTTCCAGGTGGGCTTGTGGGGTGGGTGAATACCACCCTCAGGGTCACTGTGCCAGCACCCAGGCCTCAGGTGGGCCAGGGCCTGGGTGCTCAAGCYGGGTCCCCCCAGGAAGTGACAGGCRACCATGAGACACCTCTCCATCCCACCAAAACCCGCAGGGCCTGCTCCGGAACCCTCTTATGCCCAGGGAGGTGGGTCAGGCAGGGGATGAAGTCATTGCTGAAAATCTCCTAAGAATGAGCGCCCAATCGTTGGCAGGAAGTGGCCGTGGCAGGGGAGCAGCAGGCCGGCAGCCCGCTCCACAGAGTTCGGGTGGCCAGTGCTTCCTGCCTCGTGGGCCACGCGGTCTGCACTGCCCCAGGCCCCAGACTGAACGGAGTCCCACACTGCAGCTGGGGCCCTACCAGGGGTGTCTGGAGGCAAGGCCTGAGGACGTCACCAGGTGACCGAGGGGGGTCACTCACTAGGCTGTGGCCTTGGAAGAGGAAGAGGGGCAGGGGAGCCACATAGTAAACTTTCTGTCAAATAAAGCTTAGTTAAACAGTTAAAAAAAAAAAAAAAGAGAGAGAGACTTAGATAAAGAAAGAGACCTCTCGCTGGAGCAGCCCATCCAGGGGCTCTGTCAGGACAGCCCAAGCTGACCACCACAAGCACAGATGCACCCCGAGTCCCAGTAAAGCTTCCCTCACAATGGGGGGGAGGCCAGGCAGGGCGCGGCTCGGCCTGTCCATGGACGGACCCAGCTCCAGAGCAGGAGCTCCACACCCACGGGCCCTCTTCCCAGTGCCTTCCGCAGCCTGGTCCATCTCCTCAGACCCTGCCCAGTGGAGGGGGAACGGCAGAGTCCACTCCACATGCGAGTGGGTGTCACAGGTGGGGCCTGAGAGCAGAAGCACAGGCGGAGGGCCAAGGGAAAAGGACGATAGACCAACCGTCGGGCTCTCCATGGCCTCCCTGCTCTGGGCCCATTTCCTGGGAGCCGAATAGCACCAGCTCACCAACCCCACTGGCCAAAGATCTCCCTCCCCTCTGGTGAAAGGTTGGGCTCCTCTGCTTCTCCCTGGGAMGGAAGTGGCTATGCCTGGCCCCTCAGGTATCCACGTAAAGCTCCAGGTCAGTTTCCACATCTCCCTGGGGCAGCTGGATCTACGGACCCACATAGACTGYGCAAGTGTCTTGGACAATGATCACCAAAGGGAGAGAGGCCAGGGACATGGCAGGGCTTCAGCAGCCCAGGCAGCCCCGTCAGTTGAGGCCACTTCTCCAAACCAGCCACTGGAGGTCCCAGAGTAACCCCTGGACATGCTGGTTTAGTCTCAACAACTCACCTGGGGGATGGCCCAGAGAGTCCCTGCGATTTTCAGGGTGCAGGGGTGGTGAGCACAAAGCTCACCCTGCAGGCTGCGTGGGGACAGCAGGAGATGGCCTCCCAGACCTGTGACCACCACGGCACCTGCAGACAAGCAGATGTGCATGGGCACACCTTTCTGCCTGTCTCCCCTTTCTCTTTGGTCCTAGTTGCAGTTGGACACAACACGTTCATCGTACTTATTTTTATGTGGTGCTGAGGACGGAGCCCAGGGCCTTGCGCCTGCCAGACAAGCGCGCCACCTGAGCCCCAGCCAGCCTGTCGCCTCCCCCTTTCTACGTCCGATCTCCTTCAGGCTCTGGAGAGACTGCTCACACACCAACACTCGTGGACGTATCCGCAAGTGCTTAACCACAGCACGACCAACGGCAGGCACGTCACCTATCGAGGCGAAGAAGACGATGGCCAGGAAGTCACGGATGGGCTCCAGGTAGGCCATGACCTCTTCGGTGACCATGTGGCCTTGGGAAGAGACCAGAGCTCCGGCCAGGAAGCAGCCCAGCTCCATGGACACGTCCAGCAGCTCCGTGACCTAGGTGACAGAGAAAACAAGGTCTGACGGGAACACAGCACCRACTGTGGGGACGTTCACGTGCGGACACACCACCAGGTGCAGGTGAGGATGGCACGGCAGCTCAGACACGGGCTTCCCGGAGCCCAACTCACACGGTGGGAAACGTCACGCAGGAGCCGTGGGACCTCTGGACAAACGCATTTTCAACATTTACTGTTAGCATTTGTGATTGCATTTCCCTTACCTGAAACAATGAACAGCCGGACTGTGACACTACCAGATGGATTCCTGTCACCAACCTCCRACCACAGGAGGAGACAGACACCACTAACAAGGGCCCTGAAGCATGCTGTGCTCATGGGAGGCTCTGAGRACGAGGGCCGTGCCTCAGCAGCACCTGAGCCTGCAGCGCAGACCCCGGGCGCCCTCTGCCACTCCTGGGTGCCCTGACCCTCCCTCATGTCCAAACAGTCGCTGGCCGCCTGCTACTTAAACACTCTGGGGCAGTCTGCAGCCCAGCTCTCCGGCAAGCCCCAGGCTACTCATACCAGCAGCTGGTGGGCCAGACAGGGGCTCCTGGGAGCGGCCTGTCATTCACCCTGAAAGACATCAGGTCAGTTTTTGGCTACTCCAAGTGGAGCTGCTGTGGACACTCCTGCACCATTTCTAAGTGACTGGCCTTCTCTTCAGCAAGATGAGCGCTGAGGCAGCAACTGGGTGACCTTGCCGGTGCAAGTGCTGCCTTGCTGTCCCGGGCAGACCCAGGGAGCCCAAGGGAACCCTCCCCCAACTCCCCTCAGAGTGAGGAGAAGCCTGGGCTGAAAGTGGCCTGGAGACCCTCCCCACTTGGGCCAGGAGATGAGACTGGCCTGCCTCATCATGCCACAAGGCTACTAGCTGCCCAGCTGCTCGGGCGCTGGCAGGGCTCAGGACAGCGGCCTGGCCAGACGTGCACAAGGCTTTTCGCAAGCTCAGAGGTGGCCAATGCAGCATGCACTGACCACACCTGCCAGGGTGAGCATGGAACCAGCAGGTTCAGGCCCAGCACCGCGAACCACGTGCATTTTAGACATTTCAATCGTAACTCAGATGAAACGGCCAAGACCCGACCACAGGCTTCCAGGGAGAGTCCRCGGGCCCCAAGGACTCGGCTGGGTGGGTTACCGTCAGCATTAGGAAGATGAAGGCAGACACGCCCAGGACGAGGACCTCCTTGTTCCCTTTGCTCTCCACGTGCAGCTTCCGGCAGAAGGGGCCTATGAGGTACGTCTTCAGGAGGAGACACAGCAGACAGACCGCAGCCAGGGAGAAGAGGGTCTGGCCAGCCAGGAGCAGCGTGCGCAGCACTCCCACGACCACGCTGGAAGGGAAAGAGCACGTTACTGCACCCACGCCCAGGGGACGTCTGCATCTCTCCTCCTGTGGCACGTCACAGAATAAATGACCAAATCACACACACAACCAAGAACTAAAATGAACCTGCGACTTGTACGAATGTGCGTCAGATCCGAGTCAGACGTGGGCAGTTTGCAGTCAGCACTGGGACACTCGAGTCTCCCAGGTGTGAGGACGCCAGAGGGAMCAGGACCCTCCTCCCAGCAGTCGGCGCCCGGGCTCTCAGCAGGCGGCCCGTGACCCCCAGGAGAGCACGGTGACCTCCAGCAGCACGTCCCAGGCCCAGTCATATCCTGAAGCAGACACCTAACGCCTGGGTGCAGGACAGTGAGTCCTTACCCAGTGCTTCAGAGACAGTGGGGGCCTGTGGTCACTGACACTTAGCCCAGAGCTTCCACAGGAAGCCACCAAGGGACAGTGGCAGGGTTCAGACCTCACTGTTGCTAGTCAGGACAAACCTCCTCCAGGCCTGCTCAGAGAGGAGACYGTCCCATCACAAGAAAGGGCTGTCCCTGCAGTCCAGCTTGCACCAGCACTGGACGCCAGGCTCAGACTGCTGCACAGTGACCTGGGAGACCAGAAAAGAGCTGGGCTCGAAGCAGGAAAGACAACAGAGACCACTCTGTGAGCCCAGGGAGCCCACTCTGCAGCTGCCCCTCCACGGCTGCCCCAAGGCCCCAGCTGAAGCTGCTGGGTGCCCTGCAGTCCTGACCAATCTTCCCCACCACCAGCCTGGCTGGGACCCGCCCTGGGCAATGCTCCATGCTCCAAGACCCTGTCCCGACCCGTCGCTCTGCACAAGAACCAGCTCCCCGCACAGGAAGCCACCCTCTTCACCAGCCTGCCTCCCCTCGGCCTGCCAGCCACACAGGGCCCCCAGGCGCAGGCCTATGCGCCAGGCCCCTCACTGGATGCYGCCCCAGCCCTCCTCTCCCGCTGGCCAGCTGAGTTCCCAGGCCTCCGTCACGGCTAGCTGGTGTGGGTCTAAGGAGGAWGCCGCTCTCACAACATTGCCACCCCACCTCAGTCCTCTGCAGGACACTTGCCTGGGGTGGATGACTCCTGGTCATCCATTCACCCTCCCTCCAGACCCGGGCACCTCCCTCCCTGTGCAGCATCTCTCTCCTTTCGCCCCTGCCCCAAGAAGTGGGCGTAGCCCCATCCCACCATCTGTCTGACCCATGAGAAAGGGGTCGCACTGGGAAGCAGCAGAGCCAGCTGCAGTGTCCGGATGGAGCACCAGCCACAGCTCTGCCATGTCCATCCACGGGACTCTGCTCAGGCCACCTCCTGATGGCCACGAGCCACCCGTGAGCAGGAGGCCCAGTGCAGAGCCAGCCTGCGTGGCCCCAGCCTCTCCCGGGACACTCTGCTCAGAGCTGTGAGGACCATGAGCTGCACACCAAGGGGAGCGGGAGCACCGCTCCTTCCCTTCCCTTCCCCCGAGGCACAGTGCTCTGGGAAGTGCCTCCCTCTGCCGGGGCCGGGCGAGTGCTCCCTCAGGCAGGCGCACCCCAGTCCCACCCCAACACTGGGAGCTAYTGCCAAATGGCATCACCCACCCTCTTTATTCTGCGATGCTGGGATGGAACTGGGGCACTCCACGGCTGAGCTCTGTCCCAGCCTGTTCTACTCATGTTGAGACAGGGTCTCCCCAGGAGCTGCGAGCAGGGTGCCACTAATGCTCTGGCTGCAGGCTGCAGGAAGGAAGTGCTGTCGGCTCCCAGGGCATGTCACAACTCCCGCCACTCGGGCCTTCATACCTCGTCCCCCTCTCTTGTTAGCGCACAGGAGGTCTTGATGACTAGATACACAACCCCCTTTCCTCCATGAGCGTGTTCACGACCTTCCCCCATTCTAGTTGTGGGAAATTATTTTTGTTTTAAGATCATCTTTTTAATATTGATTTTTGAGTTTTAGGTGGACACGATATCTTCATCTTTAGGTGGTGCTGAGATCAAACCCAGCACCTCACTGTGCAAGGTGAGCGCTCTACCACTGAGCCACAGCCCAGCCCAGGGGAGTTCTTCTATTCTGAGTTCTGTTCTTTGTGAAATGTTTGGCCAGGGAGAGAGAGCACCTTTCCTTTAGGAAAGATCAAGATTAATTCTGAATAAAACTTCATCAGCAAAGTCTCTATCATTATAACTAATTTTATTTCTTTGATTTATTTGACTGTAAAATTTCCGTGGTTATCAAAACTGGAAGAGAGATTTTCCTAAAGAAAAGTTTATATGGTAGACCAGAATATTACCCTAGGTTTTCCTCTTCTACTAGTGGGATCACAACAGGAAATCAAACGCTCTGAACATCCCATGAGCCAAGGCGGAAACCCGAAGGAGATCTTAAACATTCACTTACTGAATGAAAATAAGCATATGACCCATCAACACAAGTGCGATGCAGCCCCTCAGAGCCAAACAAGCCCAAAGCCAACAGAAAGGAGTAACAGGTCAAACAGGCTGCGGCTGAAGGCCCGCAGCAGGGAGGACTCCAAGCTGACCTGTGAAGGTGACCCAGGGGACCCGCACATCCCTCAGGGCTGCAGTGCCCCTCAGTGACAGCAGGGGACAGCCTGCAGCAGCGGGGCAGACTGTCTCTGGAGAGGCTCCCAGCGGAGGCCGGGCGTGGGCAGACGAATGAACACCGGTTCCGTACAACGTTTTCCAGAAAACACAAGAGGGAGGGACATTTCCCACATCATTTTATGAACCTAATATGGCGCTCCACGCTGAAACCAGAGGGTGCACCACAGGAGCTCCCCAGTCTCTGACTCAGATCCCCAAGGCCTCAGGACACCAACCAAGTGTTCACACAAAGAAAAGGTTAAGACACGTCATGACCAAGTGGGTGACTTCCAAGACGGTTCAACTCTTGAAAAGCAGAAGCGCCCACCATGTCACTCAACAAGGAAGTCCCACYACCCACCAGTGGGCCAAGGGGAGGCCACTCACGACGCTCAGGGGAAATCTGTCYGCCTGGAGAAAGGGCTTCTACAGCCCACGCCAGCTCCACCCGGCGGCCAAACGGCTGGCTGCCCGAGGCCAGGAACAGGGAGGCCAGGTCCCAGGCCGCAGTCAGAGCACAGAGGCAGAGAGGCGGGGGCAGGCCTGCGGCAGGTCCCACAACTCAAACTGGCTCCCCGMAGAGGGAGGCCCTGCTGTGACCAGGCCCAACGAGGCACAGCTGCTCAGACACATGAATGGCAGCACACTGGCCAAGGCCAGGCAGTGTGTGGCCACCCTGGGCAATGCCCTTGCCTCAGTGGCTCCCCTCCCTCCAACTGGACTTTCTCTGCTGGTGCTCCTGCTGTGAATCCAGGCACAGCACAACGTGCACCTCCTGGCCTAGCTCACCCCAGGTGGCCTCTCTCTCCAGGTGAGCCAGGAAACGCAGTCAGGTAGGGGAGGGCTCCACTGGGGATGATGGTGACAACCGAGGCCACACGTCACGTGTGCACACGCGTGTTGCTCACCGTGTGCCCCCCGACCCTGAGGTAGGGACCCACACTGCCACCATGAGCCAGGGACCCAGCGGAGGACAGTGAGGAGACACTGCTCACGTCCCACAGCCAGGAGCCATGGAGTCACTGCAGCCTGCGCGGGCCAGTCTGAATGACAAACGCTACTGTGGGAAAGGCGCGTGGAAGCAGTCGTAGAAACAAACGTTGGAGCCAGAAAAGCAAAGTGTGCACGGACATTTACCTGGAGGACATTTACCTGGAGGACATTTACCTGGAGGAC